ATGAGTCAAAAATATCAATTCGTAGAGTTTACTAAAAATAACACTTCAAAAGATTTCATGATAAATGATTTATTTAATGATAATTTTCAACCATCTTATATAAATATAAGTTAGGTAAAAGTTTAATTTTGTAGCAAATAAATGCTATAATCCCTATTTTTAGACATGTAAAGTAAGATGAAATTGTGTATTGTTGGGAATGAAATTTAAGAATAAACAAATTTATTAAATATTTAAAATATATGATAACTTGAAGTTTTTGTGATTAAGCGTTGATTGTTCTTATCACCTTGAAAATTAATAAGTTTTAGTTCGATAAAATGACTTTATTACCTAAAGCATGTAGTAGATGGCGCTATTACAAATCTCAAATATAAAATTTTCGGTTCGCAATGGATCTCACAGACTCACAGAGTATTGGAGCCTGAAATGAACCATTTGAATGATCGATCTGAATGTACCAGTACGCGTGCCCAAATGTACTAGAATGATTCGGTCGCTAGAAATGAGTGATTTACACATGTCTATAAGTCAGTGAGATACCTACACCTGTGCCTACACCAGATTAGAAGGGTATTAGTCATAGATAAATAAATATGTAGCAAGCTAGTATTAGTGTTCTGTGGAATGCATGCGTTAGTTTCTCTATCTAGTCTGTGAAATGCATTTTTTTTTAATTTATTCGTGACCATGGTTGCGAGGACCTTCAGTCGAAAACAGTATAACAGTAAACACAAATCATACATCAAATTAAGAATATTTAACTTTAGCAATAACAATTTAGAATGATTTTCCATCATTTTTCTACTTTTTTCCCTATTATATAAATATAGAACAGACTAAATTACAAAATGAACTAAGAAGCTATTTACAAACATTATCAATTAACTAAGAACACATAAATAATTAAAGTTTTCCTACAGTATTAAGTATAAATTTAAATAGAGGCATGAAAAAAACTACATCAGTTAATAGATCCTGAACGCGGCGGGGAACACTTATAGAATTTTCTTCACAATAAAAATTGAAAAGATCAAGTTGACCTTTAATAGACAATAGTCTATGCTCAAAGGCGACATCACTAATTTCACTGACAAGTGTCAACCTTTGAATCCCAAACGATGGGCACTGGAAAATTATGTGGTTTATGTCTGCATTATGTTGAGCGCAATGTGTGCATTTGTCATCAGCTACGATCTTCATTCTGTACAGATGTGCAGGGACGAGGCAATGGCCAAACCGCAAGCGGTTAATGATCGTTATGAACTTTCGGCCTGTGTATTTAAAGCGGTTGTACCACGGAATCGTTGGTAAGTCTGGCTGTAATTCTGCGTACCATTTTCCCTTATTCACGGTAGTAATGTTCCAGTAATCCTTCCACAGTTTCTTTGACAAGATTTTAAAGTGTTGATAATAATCTGTGAAGGGGACTTTACAATCTTGTGTTTGGTCTTCGTGGTGATCTTGCCGCGTCGCCTGATCCACTATCTCATTTCCGACTACGCCACTGTGTGAGGGAACCCATAAGAATTCTATACATTTTCCAATCGTTCGCAGCTTATCCTTAATTTTATACAAAATATAATTCTGTTTATATACTAAATTACAGTTACATAAAGCAGATAAAACACTTTTAGAATCACTAACTATTAAGATATTTACACTATTTACATTGGTATTTACATATGACAAAGCAGCTAATATAGCCCAACTTTCTGCTGTAAAAATACTACAATTACTTGGCAACTTTATACATTTAATAACTTTCATTTGTGGGTCATAAAATGCTGCTTTAACAAGATCACTCTTGGAGCCATCAGTATATATAGTGTAGAAGTCTTTCTTTTCATTTAAAAATTCTAAGAATTCATTCTTAGTACTAACCGAATCTAAATGACATTTTATATCAAGATAATTAAGTAATGTATCATATGGGTATTTGTAAACAGGCCACTTGTTACTGATGTACATATCTCTTGTCTGATTTTTTACACAAGTTGTTATTGTTGTTATTTCAGGCAATGTACCCGAAATAAGAGTATTAGTCGAGATGTTGGCTGTTCCAATTAACTGGGAGACTTCTGCAGGATATAAAACATTACTCAGGACAATATCATTGCTACAAGACAACTCCTTCAAACAGAATCTTTCAGCCAACTGCAAACACCGCAAGGACAATGGAGGTATGAAGGTTTCAACTTACATAGAAACAATAGGAGTGGTGCGCATGGCTCCACTGATTATTCTCAGACCCATATTCTGTATCACATCCAATTTTCTTAACAATGTGCTATTAATATTCATGTAAGCTAGAGAGCTATAGTCAAAGTGACTTCTTACAATACTTTTATACAGCATGCTAAGTGTTTTTGGATCAGACCCCCAAAAGGTTCCTGCTAAGCTTCTTAGTACATTTATGCTCTTCATGGCATTCTGACAGATATAGTTGATATGCTTATCAAATTTCAGTTTATCATCTAGCACAACTCCTAAAAATTTATGATGATTGGCTATAGGAATTGCATCATTATTATAGTTAATTTTAATTCCAGAGTTTACAAATGTGTCTTTATTGAATACTAAAACTTTACTTTTATCAGAACTTATTTCTAATTTTAAAATGTTGCTATCATAATGATGCAATTGTGCCAATGCAGTATTAATTCTATTAATTGCTGTATTTATATTCTGGTTTTCACTGTATAAAAGTATGTCGTCTGCAAACTGTAATATTTTAACTTGTGATGTATCTACATAATTAAGTACCTGAGATGTGTATAAATTATACAACAAAGGTGAAAGTGTCGCTCCCTGCATTGTTCCTTTGTTAACAGGCCTAGGTCCATGTAGTTTAGTGTTAAATTTAACAAAAAGAGTCCTATCATGCAAGAAATTTAAAATCCAGATTAATACATTTCTTGGCAAGCCCAATTCATGCAAAACTTTTATGAGGCATTCAATATTAACATTGTCAAAGGACCTTTAACATCTAAATACACATATAACATTAGAATGGCTAAGTTTGGCCTTTTTTAAGTTCCGATATCAGAGATACAAAGCTTTCAGAGCAACTTCTGCCTTTTCTGAATCCAAATTGTATGTGAGGTAGTTTATCCTGTGTTTCAGCAAAATAATCTAGACGCAACTTTAACATGTTTTCAAAAAGCTTACCTAAACATGATGACAAAGAAATAGGTCTGTATGATGATGGATCATTAGCAGCTTTATTTGGCTTTAAAATGGGGATTACACATTGGGTTTTCCATGACTCTGGTATAGCTAAATTATTCCAAAGTTTATTATAAATATTTAATAACATTTTTTGTGCATTAGGATGTAATTTTTTTATTAACATATATGGTATGCTGTCCATCCCTGGTGTTGTATCTTTCCTACTTTTGAGTGCTATGTACAATTCATTTAGTGTGAATGGTCTATTGAAAAACGAGTTACTTTCATTTTCAACAGATTGATCTAAAATATCATTCAAATAATCTTCATTCAACTGTGATGAGTCTGTTATGTTGTCTAAGAAGCTTGGCATCTAATCGTCAGCCAAATATCTGTTATGAGAAGAACCTATCTTTCTAAACCTTTTCATGTAGTTCCATATTCGAGAAATAGGTGTCATTCTATTAAAACTAGTACATAAATTGTGCCATGAATTAATACTTTCTTCTTTTAATATCCTTTTCTTTTGAGCATCAAGTTTTTTGTAGTTATTGAAATTAGGAATACTAGGCGATTTTCTATACTCTTTGAGGGCCTCCTTAGACTTTCGAACAGCATCATCACATGTTTGGTTCCACCAGGGTGCAGGTTTTCTCATTACCCTTAAAGTTTGTTGTGGTATTTGCTTTGGAACAGTCTCTGCTCTAATATCATTACAAAATTATTATACAAATCAATAGGTTTTGTACCATGTATTTCTAAATTACAAAATCTCGTTTCTGATAGTTCTTGATATTTACACCAATCTGCTTTGTTATAAATGTATTTTTCTTCGACAGGACGCACTTCATATATAGAAGGCTTCACATTTAGAGCGACCACAGTTGGGTAGTGGTAACTGCCCATCGGGTCGTCATGGACGTGCCATTCACAAAGAGGAGTTAACGCGGAACTAATCAGAGCTAAATCTATTGCCGACTGATTTCTGTTAGGATACCGGACAGTTGTAGCTGTGTCACCATCATTCAGAATACACAAGTCAAGGTCACCAACAAGTGCATATAAACTGTTACCACTATTATTATTTGTCCGACATCCAAACAGGATGTGGTGCGCATTAAAATCTCCCGTAATAAGACATGGCTTAGGAGTTTCAAGTAGCACCTTTTTTCATTTTGCTAGTAGTAAACCTGCTGCTATTGGGAGGACAATATACACATAGAATATGTAACTTACCCATAGTTGTGTCTACGGAAATGCAAATATTTTGCACAGATTCGAAAAAAGTTGTATTTACAATAGTGTATTTTAAGTTTTGTTTAATTAATATACCTACTCCATTATGTTCATTTATTGAGTTTTTGTGTATAAAATTATAGGGTGAAAAATCGGGAATTGTACTAGTTGTTTTAAGCCAGGTTTCATTTAAGGGACAGATATCTATATGTTGTTCCGAAAGAAATTTTTTAAGTAAGGCCCTTTTGTTCTGTAAGCTCTGTATGTTATATTGTGCTATATTCAAATATGTATCCATTATGGTATTAAATTACTTAAAAGTATGTCTTTAATTCTTTTATTTGTAATCGGAGCGCTGCTCTTGTCATTGCCAAGCATAACTAATGATTTGGCTAGCGCATTAATAATTAACTCGTTGTTTAGTATTTGCTCAGCATTATATGGTACTTTATTTATGTCAATATCAACAGTCTTTACAGGTTTAAGATTTGGGAATGCTCTCGGGTCGGGCATTGCTGGGATACTCACCACAGCGGCATACGATCGGTTTGGTTTTAAATACTTATTCTTCTTCTCTTCCATCTTTTGTTGCTTCACTGGACAGTCCCTAGAGATGCTAAGTGACCACCTTGACAGTTGATGCACACAATTTTTTCGACGTCGCATTCTTTGTAGGAGTGTTGTCCGGAGCATGAAGAACACATTTGAGAACCTCGGCAGACTTTCGCAGAGTGATTAAACTTCAGACATTTGTAGCACTGTAGTAATGGAGGGATGTATATGTGGACCGGGTATCTGAACATCTGTATGTAGGCGTGCTGCGGCAGCGCTGTCGCAGCAAAGGTCACTGCATTGGTCCCCAGCGGAGTGAGCTTTCCATCTACCTTTCTCATAAATCTCTTGACGGAGATGACTTCTGCATCGCAGGTAATGCTTTTGTATATGTCTTCATTGCTTAAGTCTTTAGGTACGTATCTTATGACTCCAGTAATTTCAGTGAGGTGCGCAGGCACGAACGCTTTTAATTTGTGTTTTCCCAAAAAGTGTGTCATGGTAAGGAAGTTATTGGCCGGTGCTGGTTTTCTGAACGTTATGCCCACTTTATATGCGTTCACTCTGTGGACGCCAGCGATTCCTTTTACATTTTCCGTAAATTACTTTGTAAGTGCTATTGGATTTTTGTTACCAATTTTTTTTCGTTTTCTTGTGATTCAACGTAGACTACGCAGTCTACGCTGTGGTTTTCTGGGAATTGTCGCGAGTAATTTGTTTTTGTGAAAATTTTGTAGTCGACGACATTTCCTTTGCGAGTATCGGGCAATTTCCTTTTCTTTGATTTTTGCTCGGCGGGGGTCGGGCCCCCGTCGGAATTTGGATCCATTGTATTTACACTATATATAGGTATGTACTAATTAACTATTTACACGGAAATTTAAAAAATATATATAAAATAAAATGAAATGAAAATTCAGCAAGAATTAAAACACCCGCTTAACTTGACTTCCCCTGTGAAATGCAGTAGCAGCAATGTTGCCAGATGCCTTGAACCTTTTATCTGTATTACAAACTGCTAAAATCTGTATGCTATTTAAACTTAAAATCTGCATAATCTAATAAACCAAAATAGAATGATTGATCATAATCATCATCATTGCTTCTTTTGAAAAAACAAGGAATAACTACTAACGTGATAAGCTAATAAGGTTTGGTTATCGTTATTAAATGATTTTTTTTATAGAATAAAGGTGACAAAAGAGCACATAGTCCACCGATGGTAAACGGATACTGTGGCCCATAGACATCTACATTTATCCTCGATTAAGAATAAAAACGCAGATACGTTGTCACGCCAGAGGACTATGATGGAATGCCTCATTTCCAGTAAAAAAATGGTCTCCGGATTCCTACACTCACCATACGAAACACAGCAGTATTAAGCTGGTATTTTACGCTGGTATTCTGTGAGAGCGTAGTCCTTCGCCGGTCGTGCTGAGTCATTCGTGCTGCAACCATAGTATATCTGCAGCGTGGCTCTATCACGTATAAATAATATTTATATAGCAAAATTGAGAACATTAATTTAGGCAAACGACATATTAAAACTCAAACATTTACAACAAATGAACATATAATTACTTCATTATTTTCAGTCATATATATTTTATATATACATATTTTATAATACACTTTTAATTCTGCCATACTAACTAATTACGTTGTGAAAAAAATAAAATTAACCATAAAGAATAGAATCATGCAGTGATGTGTGTAACGCGGTATCTAGTCACTTATTTTGCTTCATTCTGTTTTAAGTTGAATATTACGGTAATCCAGTCAATAGAGTTAGAAAACTCTGTATATAAATCTGTATCCAGTGCTAATCTGTATCACACACCGAAAATCTGTATAAATACGGGGAAATCTGTATATATGGCAACACTGAGTAGCAGAACCGTAGACAGAGAAAGCAGAACACAATCAAGAACAAGCAACAAGTAACCACAGACTACTAAGAGGATACAAGTAACCTTAGATAAGAGTGTATATACCAATGGTGGTTAATACAGCGCATAGCGCCATATTATAGCGCGCTATCTCTCCATAACGCATAGCGCGTGCTATGTAAGTTGTCGCCATGGCGCTATTGCGCTATGGCGCTTTGGTGCTATTAAGTATCTCTAGCGGCAACTATTTCTAGCAGCAGAGCTGTTGGGAGAGGACGTGTGACGCAAATTTGATCTAGTAGCACGCTACTCATCGCGCGCGACCTAATTTAGTGTTAGACGTTGTTTAGTTATATACTGTATATTTATAAGTGATCGAAGAACACAGTTGTCTGCTATAAAAGAAGCCTAACTAATGTTTTTAAATGTTCAATCAATCAGTAAACTTTTAAATACACCCTTATTTGATTTATAATTTATATTAAGGTTAAAATAACGTTTACATCAATTAAATTAACGAATTATTGTTCAATTAACTTTAGAGATGGACCGAATATTCGTTTTATATTCGGTATTCAGCAGCTTTACCGAATATTCATACTCGGCCGAATATTCGGCTAAATCACCGAATATTCGTTTAAGTGGTACTCAAAATGTCCACTGTATTGAATTGTACGAATTGAGTAATGTCATGTCTTTTATATTTTTACTGTTGAAAGTGTATTTTATTTATGGATTAAATCTACTTGAAATGTTATGTTTTCGAGTTACTTTAGATTTATTTCCAATTACAGCAAATAGAAAGCTTGATAAACTGTTTTTGGAATCAAACAAAGAAACATTACATTACATTACATATTTTATTTTATTATCATACAGTTTTTCTATATAATTTCTCGCGCTTTATGGTAACAAGTTTCGACATAAATTGGTAGGTACCGAGGTGATCCAGTTGAATAATGTTCGGCCGAATATTCGGTTCTGTAAAAGTTTTACCGAACGAACTTTCGGCCGAATATTCGTATTCGGTGAAATCCATATTCGGCCCATCTCTAATTAAAATCGAATCCAATCTTGAATATTTGTTTTTGTTATTCTTTTAAGATTAAATGGAAACGATAATAAAATTGAGGTCCTTTGGAATTGCGGCGATTTTTAATTTTTGAAATGAATTTTAAACCAATTGCAAATCAAGTAAGCAATTCTGCATATTGCTCCATTAAAATCGAATCAAATATTGACAAAAACAATTATTCAGGCAATAATATTTATATAATAATGAATATTTGTAAACAAATATTAAAGCAGTATGTTAGCAATGAAGACGTCTTGAACTTACATTATATAATAACTTATATCAAATAATTTAAAGCTCAAAATAAATTATGCTTCTTCGCATTATTTCTAACACTTTTTTAAATAAAATATGTAATACAAAAAATTATGTGCTGTACTGTACTGTAGGGTACAATACCCTGTAGTGTAATGACGACGTAAGAGAATTCACTACTCAAAGTCATCCCGTGGGTGTCTTAAGAAGCGACAGAGATAAACTAAAACATGAGATGCGTAGCAGCCTTTTCAGAAAAGAAAACGCTGCCGTTGCCAACCCACCTGATATACTGTGACAAATATTCGCACAGTATCACCCATAGAATACTGTAATACATACATAATAGAACGGGGGAGTGAGCGGAGCCCACGTAGCCACTAAAATGTCACTAACACGTCAATTCACACGTATAAATGTCAACACGAGATGTGTTCTGACGTTACAATCGTTTCCAAATTTCGCATGCAAATTATTTAGAAAATGCCAAAATGCGCCCTATTTACAAATAATTATGAAAGTGTTAACACTTCAGTCTGTCAACACAGCGAATCGGGTTTAGCAACGCCCTTTCTCGTACAAAATAAAGTTGACCGCCATTCTATTGTGTATTATACTCGTAGTATTCTATGGTATCACCAATCTTTAGCAATAGACCTTTTGTTTAAAAATAAATTATTTGATGAGTATTGCAATAATGCATTCTATAGACTCATAGAGTATATCTAGCCTATTTAATAACGACATATCTGCTAATTATAAAAATACATTTGTATAAAAAAATAAGATTCATTAATCTTACTTTTATAATTTGGTGGTTCAATTTAAGCGTATTATTACATATTGTTACATACATGATATTATATTATTATTTATATTTTTTATTAAGGTTTAGGTATAATTCTTACAATTAAAAATAGTGCAATTTGAAAGGAAAGCATTTCGTGATATTTAAAATGTTTCAAATAAATATTTTTTCTTACTGGCAAGCACTCTTTAACTTGAAGCGAGCAACCCTTTTTGAACCACACCCACAACGACCACTAGTAACGGCCAACTTCTTCATGAACACAAGCATTAACGCTTTTGATGGTACATTACGTGCGCGCTCCGTTGCTGGCAGCAGACAAGATCTCATTTCCCTGCTTCATCGAATACTAAGGCAGTTTTCTGTACCTGACCTGTGGAAAAAGAAAAAATAGTGGACGCATTTTGGCGAGAATCCACATCACACCGGACCCGATAATCGCCGAGCAGGTCAAAGGTTACCCAGGTGAGTGTTTGCCAGGTCTTATGTGTACATAACATAATTATTTTGATCCTTGCGAGCCAAATTTTTCCTTTCAAATAGTGCTGTCTTTGTGATTGAAAAGTGTTATCTTTAGTTTACACACAGTTAAAAATTTTTGAATTTAACGTACATACGTACTTTCATCGACGTCATATAGGCTATCTTTGCAACGCAAAATGCCGAATCCAGCATTAGTTGAACAATCTATGTGTGATTTTTCATGCGAGCAGGATATGTTCGAACGCGATATTATTTTAGATGATTTAAAAAGAACATTAAAATTCGCAACGACCGATGAACAAAAATTCCGTTCGCGAACTAAAGATCTTACTGCACAACAAAGAAAGTTTAGTAAATTGCAAACTAAAATTGAAAAATGTCTAATAAGGACAAAAATGTTCAACAAAGATGACAAATTAAAATTCGTAACGATTTTGATGACGAATACTACGCTATTGTCACCCATTTGAACAAATTAAAACAGGATGACGAACAAGGCAGGCGTATGAGTAGGTCCTTTAACTCCGAATCCTTTTCACAATCCCACAATCCAAAATTACCTAAAATTCCCTTGCCCTTTCGTGGGTAGTAGTGCGGACTGGAATTCATTTTATGATATGTATATGTCACTCGTACATAACAGTAATGCCTACACGGATGCAGAGAAATTCAGGTATTTACTCCTTACTTTAAAAAATGAAACTTACAATTTAATTAAATCAATTCCCATTACCAACGCGAACCATTCAGTAGCCTTACAGGTATTAATTTCACGTTACGAACAAAAGAATTATAGCTTCCACCCATCTCGACAAAATTCTCGATGTTGAACCTTGTTCAGAAAAATCTACAAGCAGCTTATGTAACTTACTGAACATTTACCAAGAAAACATTAAAGCACTTGAAGTTATGAAATTTCCTACAAACGAATGGAGTTTTATTTTATTAACGATTTTACTACGAAAAATTCCCTCCTCTATTCGCAAA